CTTGTCAGCAGAGGGCACCTTCTTGGGGGGCTCAATTCGGATATTTGGGTCCCATTCTCCAGGAGGAAGGACGATGACCTCATCCAGAAATTCATCAATTCCTGCGATCAGATCTTCCCGATTGCGGGCTTTGTAGGCCACGTCACTGAAGAGCTGGCAAGGAGAGAGGAGGGAGAAAAAAAGGTCAGGTCTCTTTGTGACGTGCCCAGGAGCACACCACATCTAGTTTTTAGAGAAATCACCGAACCACATCTCCCACTGCCAACTCACTCAGTTTTTGGGAGGGAACCATAGCACACTGGTAAAATATGGCACAACGGGACACAGCAGGCACTGGGGGAAGATAGCCTGTCTTGGATCTGAAGGCCAGGTCTCCATATTCTTGCTTGCAGGACTTTGGTCAAGTTACTTAACCTTTCTGTTTTCAGTTTTTCACACAGCACACACATTAGAAAACCTCTGTAGGGCCCAATCCAAAGAGCTCAGATATTTTACTTCCAATTTTTACTCCTAGCCCTTCACCCTTGGAGGGTCAGCCTGCATTGTTCACACTGTCTCGAGTGTGCTTTCTGACTTGCAGATTCCATGGGGCTATGCTCATGTTTAACCCTTTTCCCATTTAGGAAAAGAAAAGTGCAGCTCACTGCCAGTGGTCATTTAATTTTACATGAAAACACTCTGAGGCCAAAGCAAATCTGACTTTCATTGTGAAAATGAAACATAAAAACTATTCTTGGCGTTATTTCTAAACAGAACTAACATCAAAATCATTGGAATAATCAGAATCATCTATTTTGGAAACAGTGGATTCATCAAATGAATCTTAGGCTAACAACTGTTTGAGAATGATGTTACCATCACTCATAGGAAAGCTAGTTTTCTAGGACTTGATATTTTCAGTCATTGAGAATTACCGTACTTTGTAAATGGAAATACCACAACTAAAAACAGAATGCTATAAGTAGAATGATGTCTTTTGCTTCTAAAGTCAACATACTGGAGCGATGTGAAAATAATAATAAAAGTGAGACATTTTGTGGGAAAAAGTTATCCCGGGATAAAGGCTGCAGGCACAAGTGCCGCCAGTGAGTATTTTTGGCACAAACGGCAAGAGTTAAAGTCCTCTAGGCTCCCCATCACTCTGGGGACACAGTATGACTCAGCTCTGCTTACAGGCTCTGTGCAGTCTCTGGCTCACCTCTCCAGTGCCACCTCCTTCTCTTGAAGCTCTTACACTGAGCCTACATCAAACCACCTCCATCCAGCTTCTCTGAGCCTGACCCATTCATTTCCTTTGTCTAGAACGTTTGCCTCGTAGCCTGGTGCTGCGTCTACCTTCCTCCTGCTCCTTCTTAGCTTTAAAGCCCCTTCATCTGTGAAGCCCTCCTTGACCCCCTGGACAGCTAGCACATGGTTGGTTTTATAAGTATCAATTTGTCCCTCACACTTGATTGGTTCTCCTAAAGGACAATGACTATTCCCCGATTCTCTTCATCTTTAGCATCCTACGTAGTGCCTGGTACACAGTAGGTATTCCAATGTGCTGGCTGGATAAGTTAATGAATGAAGGTGGAGTGATTGGTGCAGGAGGCATAAAATTCAGGAGTACAAGCTTCTGGTTACCACTTACATCATCTACCATGAGGGTTGCAATGGCACGGCCAATTTCATTGTAGGATTTTGCTCTCCCAGAAGGTCCCAGCAGTATAAACAGAAATCTGCAAAGAAGACGGGGGAGGAGACAGACAAGATGAAGGAAGAGGAGCATACAAGTGAGAAGAAAAAATATAAGCAGGTGAAGAGAGTGTTTTGGCCCCAAACAATATCCATTCTTAACTTTTGTGTGTGTGTGTGTGATAGGGTCTCACTCCATCATCCAGGCTGGAGTGTAGTGGCGCAATCTTGGCTTACTGCAACCTCCACCTCCTGGGCTCAAGTGATCCTCCCACCTCAGCCTCCTGAATAGCTGGGACTATGGGCATGCAACACCATGCCCAGCCAATTTTTCATATTTTTCGTAGATACAGGGTTTCACCGTGCTGCCCAGGCTAGCCTCCAATTCTTGAGCTTGAGCAATTCACTCGCCTTGGCCTCCCAAAATGCTGGGATTAGAGGCATAAGCCACTGCTCATGCAGTAAAAAAAAACAAAACTTTTTTATTTCCCTCTGTGGAACCCCATGTTTGCTTTGGAGGAAGATTTCCTCTTCCCCTCCCTTAGGCTCCCCCTTGAGCATCCTCACCTTTGTCTTGCTGCCAACGCCCACCTGACAACTTCTCTCCCAGTTGTTACCTACTCTTTTATGATTTTTAGTAAACTCTAAAACTCTTCCCTAGTTAGAAGGTATCCCTTCCCAGCAACCTCCACACTTAGAGGTGTCTCCAAGAGCACTAACAATCAACAGCACTGCTTGCTGACTGCATGGACAGCTGGCTCCCTGAGGGTGGCATGGGGACAGGTTTCAATGGCTCTCACCTGGTGGGGACAGGCACCTCTGTTACTCCTCCCAGCATGGCTGACTGGATGAGGCGCACGAACGCGATGAATGGCTGGTCTAGGAAGTCTACCTCGCCCACGAGCACGTTGGAGGCTTCCGAGTCTTTGGGGATCTTCTTCATGAATTTGTTTTTCCGCTGGACAGGGAGGGAAAACAAGATAGCCATGGAGACTCCCACCTGCTCTCACTCCCTCACTCTCCTTCAGACTGCTTTCAGGTCTAACTTGAAAAAATTCTCCCAATGTTGCCAATAGACTGAAAGAATAACCAAGTACTCTCCCAATTCTGCAGATGGGAAGACTGAATGTAGGTTAACCCCAGGCACCATTAAGCTTTGTAGATGGGAAGGATCCGGCAATGACTTGGCCCTAAGATATTCCTTGATGGATGAAAACTGTTCCACTGAGTTGTGGGTTGAGGGGTCTGAGAAGAGCCCCAGGCTTGCCAGACATCAGGCCTCACTGGATGGCCTCTTCCAGGCTGAGCAGAAGGGAGTGTCAGCGCCTCTACTCCAGCCACCCAGACCCCCCCTCTCCACCTCCACTTTTGGTGGCTGTGAGGAGGAGGAGGCCTGTTCTGACAGTCAAAGTAGACAGGCCTTGTTTTCCCTTTGCCACCAGCTTCCTGGCTCACAGGAATTCCTGGATCAGTCTCAAAGTCTGGGAGATTTCCATGCCCCCAAGTTACCCCCAGGGGACCTCCCAGGAAATTCATAACTTCTGGGATTTTCCAGTGGAGACTATCAAGGTAGCCTCTCTCCAGTCCCTCTGGCTAGTATCTCTTCAGGGGAGTTAGGTCATACAGGCAGAGCCAGTGGGGTCTGATGTGAGAGGTACTGGAGACAAGCCCTCCGCTCAAATGTGTTCCCACTCTCTGTGTTTATAACTTCATTCTTCCTGAGTCCTTTTTTACGCTGAAAATACCCCAGGGATGATTACTTTTGAGCTCTTCTTAGTCCTTAACATCTTAGAATGAATTCCTTTTTCAGATTGCTTTCCCTCTGGGCAGCAAGGGCATGGATAGACAAGAGACAGAGATAATTTTGTCAGAAGACAGAGGGGGAGCAGTTGCGGTGGTGGCAGGGCTGAGTGCCGTCCACGGTGGCTGAAACAACAGGAAAGAGCCTGGTGTAGAGGACAGCTCTAAAGAAAACACCTGCAAACATCACAATTTTCCCACCAATCTCCCCTCTGCTGGAGTCTTTCCTATGGGCACAGACCTGTCTGTTTCTCACAGGCTCAGTGAAGACACAGCTTCCTTGTGTCTCTTCCCATCCCTGTGGAGGGGTCAGCTGTGGGCATGGATATGGCCAACAGGTCCTGCCCTTTTACGCCCACAGCTGTTTCCTGATCTGACTTATGTGGGGGCATGATACACACTGGGCTGGGTGGCCTACCAGTACGAGCAAGGCCTGCATCCTTATAATCTTTTAAATCCAATCAGAAAAAAAACCCTCCACAACCACCCAGGCAACCATCAGCAGCCTCAAGGATCCTAACATAGTGAGAAAAAGCAGGAATTGACAGGAACACCAGAGTCCCTGAGACTCAAAAAGTCCCTTTGTCTCAGGCATGGTCAGTTGATTAATAAGCAGCATTCTTCAGGGTGGAGAGCTGGGTGTACCAGGGCAGCCACCGTCTCTGAGCATCAGGCAGGGAGGGGATCCAGGGCAGGGGAGGAGAAGCGGGCTAAGCAGCAGCAGCCTGGAGAATGAGGCTTTGGAAGCAGCAATGCTTCAGGGTGTCCCAACAAACCCACTTGTGTTTTGTTTTGTTTTGTTTTGTTTTGTTTTGAGACAAGAGTCTTGCTCTGTCACCCAGGCTGGAGTGCAGTGGCATGATCTCGGCTCACTGCAACCTCCTCCTCCCAGGTTCAAGCGCTTCTCCAGCCTCAGTCTCCCAAGTAGCTGGGACTACAGGCACATGCCATCACGTCCAGCTAATTTTTGTATTTTTGGTTGAAACAGGGGGTCTCTGTTGGCCAGGCTGGTCTGGAACTCCTGGCCTCAAGTGATCCATCTGCCTCAGCCTCCCAAAGTGCTGGGATTACAGATGTGAGCCATAACACCTGGCCATCAAACCAACCCACTTGTAATCCAGGAGAGAAGAGAAACTGAACCAGGGACTTGGTCCTTCCTTACACATTGTGACCTGTTTGGTAAGGAGGCCAGGGTTGTGGCATCCCAGAAATAGGAGCATGCTAGTGTTCCAACCAACCCTGGCTTGCCCACAGCCTGGACATGGGTGTGTATAACCAGGGCCCTGCTGACTCCACTTCCTGAACCCTTGGAGTCACTGCAGCACAATGATACTGTCTGAATCTACTCTCTGTTCACTGGGAATCTGCCGACTCAGGGCAAGCATGGAGTTTAGTTTTGTATAAACCAATGATGAAGAAAGAGCCTGCAGAGCAAATGCCTCTGGGCTTGCTAAAGAACGCCCACTGGCATAGACCACTGATGCTGCTTCTCAGTATTTGCAGCATCAGGGATCAGCGAGGAGAACTAGACGCTGGTGCTAGATGGTGGGTTCCAATCCCTAAATCAAGGAAGCACTGACTGCTGAAAGTGACAGCTAGTGTTGTTATTACCACTCACACATTCATTAAAATGGTTATGAAAAACTTTTACTAGGAAATGCTTTCTTATTACAGTTCCACTGTCTGTGTGCATGACTAAAAGCGGTTTTCCTCTCCAAATAATGTTCCAGAATACTAAGTAGTTCCTAAATTACTCCAAAATTAAGAGCTCTAGGAGTTAGACTACCTAGGTCAAATCAAAGTTCTGCCTTTCAGCTCTATAGACTTGCGCATGTTATTTAACTGATGTAAGCCTCAGTGTGCTCTCATGAGTAAAATGGGAATGAAAACAGTATCTTTGTGATTCACAGAAAATGCCTGGCACAGTGTAGCGCATGCAGTGTGGACTTTAAATGTTGGTTGATTTTGTTATTGTTTAGTTTATTTTTGCCCAGGACACTGACATGAGGGGCTCACTTTGTTTTTGCCTTCCACCAAACTTAGGGGTGCCTGGAAGGCTTGCAGGTCCACCCAAGCTCCTGAAGGCTCCTGGCCAAGTTTCAGGTTTCCTTTGTCATTTTTCTTCCTACTTTTGTGGAGACAGACAACGGGACCATGGGACCTCCTGTCCTTGAGGTGTGCAGGAGTTGGAATTGAGGGGGCCTCCTCTGGCCTTCCCCAAGGGGCACAGTCACAGGATTCTGGGGCTGTGGGACTTAGAACTGGACCCAAGCTGTTTGTAGGATTCTGATCTCATCAAGGAAGTTTCAGTCCAGCTCGTGGGAGACCACAGGAAGATGCACTATTGGCAGTCTAAGCAATTAACTACCACTGTTCTCCTCACAGGGAGACTCTTTTCTGTCTCTCTGCCAGCCCCAATCCCTATCCCATCATTAAAGTTGCCTGTGGGTCACAGGGGAGATGAAGTCATGTGTGCTGGTCTTTTCTCTTCAACAAATGCCGAGCTCAAGGACAGCTGGCACCTCATTTGATCATGTTCTCTGTCCCACAGCCTGAGGACCTGCCATAGAGCCAGCACCTGGGATTCAATCAGTCCCTGACTGCTGGGCTTGGCAGAGTCCCCCAGGTGGCCCAGGGTCCCCACCGGGGACCTTCCTGGAACTCCCTTCCTTCGTAGGAGTAGAATTCTGCCCATAGGGGATCCCTGCCCCTGAAACCAAAGACTTCCTCCTGCCCTGGCCCTCCATTGCAGCCAAATGCAGGGATTTTACTACCTGGTCTGTGTTTGGGGTGAGAGAAATGTCATTCATGCTTCTGCTCTGGGCATGACCTAGGAGAGAAGGAAAGGAAGATCCATCAGGGGAAGCCAGGCTCTCACAGGTCCCTTTGCTATGGCCCCTACTCATGCCTCTCCCATGTTCACAACCAAAGCAAGTCCTTTCCCCCTTAATCCTGCAGCTCCCTTAAGCTAGCATCCTCTCACTTTCCTTCCATTTAGTGGCTTTCCTGAAAGAGGTGTCAGACTCCAGGTTCCACTGTTTCCTTCTCCCTCCTCAATCTACCGCACTCTAGTCTCTACTCTTCAACTCCACCTTCTTGGACGTCGCCAGGCTATCTACTCTGGGTCTGGCTCTGTACCAGTCCTGGATAGGGGGAGGGACAACAGATGCATTATTAGATGAGGGGCCATGTGTCACTAAGCTTGGAATTTGCTGGAGAGGAGAGCAGTTTCACCTCTGTCCTCCATGGCCAGTAAGAATCTTTAAAGATGGGCTGGTGATTTAGGCTGACAGAGGGAAGGAAGGTGGCCTCCCCATGAGAACAGTGATAGTCAATTATTTGGACTGCCCAATAGTTCCTTCCTCTGTTAAGGGGGAGAAAGTCAGCTCTCTTCTCCCACTAGCCCGATCTGGTGGATACCCTCAGACCTATCGTGTCTCGGCTATTGGCCTGTGCCACTCCTGGTGTCCGGAACGTGGCTCCTCTCAGCTCTCCTCCTCTCATTTCTGTCCCAGGATCCTCTCTTGCTTGGGCCTCCTGGGGTCTTGTCTTTGCTCTCATCCCCTCTGGGTGCCTCAGCCTCTCCGCTGGTCAATTACCCCCACTCCTATTATTTCCAACACCCATCTGGACTGAGGATGCCAAGGATGGATCTTTAGTCTGACCCCTCTTCTGAGTTGCAGACGCCTTGGAGCAGCCCCCTCTGGCACCTCAAACACAACTCTTTATCTTCCACCAAATCACTCCCCTCACAGACACATTCCACTCAATGCCCCTCCCTCCCATCCACCAGCCCTTCAGACAGAAATCTAGGAGCAGCCTTGGACCCTCCCTCTTCCTCACCTCCTACTTCCCACCAGCCCTTCAATTCTACCTCTGTCCCTTCCTTTCCATTCTTGAATGTAGGCTCAGTCTCTGCCTTCCAGTCTTGCCCCTTCTAGTTTATTCCTACTGGGACAGAAATCTGATTACGGCATGCTCCTGCTTCAAGCTTCCCATTACCTTCAGAATAAGATCCGGGTTTTCTTGTTTTGTTTTGGGGTTTTTCTTTTTTGAGACCGAGTTTCGCTCTTGTTGCCTAGGCTGGAGTGCAATGGCATGATCTGGGCTCACCACAACTTGTACCTCCCATGTTCAAGCGACTCTCCTGCCTTAGCCTCCCAAGTAGCTGGGATTACAGGCATGCTCCACCACACCCAGCTAATTTTGTATTTTTAGTAGAGATGGGGTTTCTCCATGTTGGTCAGGCTGATCTCGAACTCTTGACCTCAGGTGATCTGCCCGCCTTGGTCTCCCAAAGTGCTGGGATTACAGGAGTGAGCCACCGTGCCCCACTAGAATCTGGGTTCTTTTGCTGGGTGTACAAGGCCCTCTTTGCTTTGACCTTCTCTTCCGCTTAACTCCTGCACTTCCTATAAACTGAACTGATGTTCTTTACCTCCAGCTCCTTCTCTTCCCTCCCGCAACTTGCTATTTGTTTCCTTTGTTTAGAACCCCCTCTTCCTCCTCCTTGCTCCTGGAAAACTTCTGTTTATGCTCCAAGACTCAGTCAGCATCTCCTCTTCTCCAATCCTTCCCCTGTGCCCTGTGTTCTGCATGTTGGGCCACCTCAGGGTGGGTGACCACCTTGAATATGACCTGGTTCACACAAAGCTGTAACCATCCACTCATGCCTCTTGTCCCAGTGGTTCCTACCCTTAAGCAGTGTTGGTAGGGAGGTGACCTCATATACAATGACAACTGAGTGGGAGGTCTTCCCGAAGCCACTGTCTACCCACTGAACATTCACTGGGCATCCTTATGTGGAATAACCAGGCCAAGGGAGACTAAGTGGACTTGGGCCATCAAGACAGAGAGAGAAGACTGCAGCAAACACCTGCTATGGCCAAGGCCACGGGCAGGGGCTGCACTGCCCCCCAAGTCACTCCTCGGGCATGGACGGGGCACAGCACTGGGCTGCACTTGTTAACATCTTGGCATTTTAGCAAAAATACCAGAAGGAAAATAGTCCTTCACTGCTTTTTCTTTTTCTCTTCATTTTCTAAGTTGGCTCCTTTCTTTCCTCCAGCTTGCCTGTCTGTGTATCCCTGATAAGCTGCGTAAAAAGCCTGTCTGTGACCTCTCACCTCAAACCACCCCCCCACACCATCCATTCCCAGCAAAAAGGGGCCATGACTCTGCCCACATTTCTTCTCCATGTGGTGGTACGAGACTGCCACCCAGTGATGGGAATGCTGCCTGACTGAACTGAAGGAAAGGACCTTGCTTTTTTTTTTTTTTTTAAATTCCGTTTCCAGGAAAGCTTTTCACCAAAAAACAGGGTTAATGTCAGTTTGGTGAAGATGAGGATACAAACTGAGATAAAAATGCCTAGAACATGGGAGTGGGTATTGATTACATCAGGATGTGACTGAGAGCCTCATTTTTCAGAGGAATGACTTGAATACTAAGTAGTAAATGAGGCCCTGACAGCAGCCCGGGTTTAGAGTGAAAGTTAGGCTTCTCCTGATCCACGCCCTGAGAATTCTTGGCAGATCCTGGGCTTTGTCTCCCCCACCTATGGCAATGTGGCCATGTCACAGCTGCCACAGCCTAAACAAAGCTGCCACAGAGCAGCGGAGCACACACTCACACAGACGTCCATAATTTGCACTCTGCTGCATCCGTAGGTCCTCCGTGGAGTGGTGTAGACTCGGGCCAGCACCAAGGCTCCGGCCAGGACTGCGATCTGAGAGGAGAATCAGAACGGACTTGGCTTCAACAGCCTTGCTGGTATAGCAAAGCCTCTCAGGTTAGTTCACTTTAACTAAATAAAACTGGGCTATGAGACATGTCTCTTCCCCTTCCAGGAAGAATTTTTTTTTTTTTTCATTTAAGCAAGTCAATAGTCTGAACAAGATTACAGATTGGACGCAGTGGCTCATGCCTGTAATTCCAGCACTTTGGGAGGCTGAGGCGGGTGGATCACCTGAGGTCAGGAGTTCAAGATCAGCCTGGCCAACATGGTGAAACCCTGTTTCTACTAAAAATACAAAAATTAGCCAGGTGTGGTGGCAGGCACCTGTAGTCCCAGCTATTTGGGTGGCTGAGGCAGGAGAATCTCTTGAATCCAGGAGGCAGAAAATGCAGTGAGCCAAGATTGTGCCACTGCACTCCATCCCGGATGACAGAGTGAGACTCCATTTCAAAAAAACAAAAACAAAAACAAAACAAGATTACAGAGAGAATATCTGTACTGTTGAAAGTGAGATAGATACACAATTGATTACATGGGTACAAGGTGTAATAGACTGCTTGGGTTCATCCCTGATTCTACCACTTACTGGCTGTGTGACCTTAGGCAAGCTACTTAAACTCTCTGTGCCTCAGGCGTCTCATCTGTAAAATGGAGACAAGAACCGTACCTACACACCACAGTGTTTTTGTGAGGATGAAGTGAGTTAAAACAGGAAGAGCACTCAGAATAGTGCCCAGAATGTGGTAAGTGCTGAGTATGTATCTATTGTTTTTATGGGATGTTAAACACTTCCCATTGTTTATTGGGGGATTTTTTGAGACAAGGTCTTGCTCTCTTACCCAGGCTGGAGTGCTATGGCATGATCTCAGCTCACTGCAACCTCTGTCTCCTGGGTTCAAGTGATCCTCCCCCTTCAGCCTCCTGATTAGCTGAGACTACAGGTGTGTGGCACCACGCCTGGCTAATTTTTTGAAGAGGCGGGGTTTATGCCATGGGGTTTTGTAGAGATGGGGTTAAACCATAGAATTTATGTATTTCTTGTAGAGATTGGGTGTATGCCATGTTGCCCAGGCTGGTCGCAAACTCCTGAGCTCAAGCAATCCGCCCACCTTGGACTCTCAAAGTGCTGGGATTACAGGTGTACGCCACCATGCCCAGGTCACTTCCCATTTTAAAGTAATTTATTTAAAGAGGTTCCTCAGTGTTTTTAATTTAGCAACTTAGCTCTGGTTACTGTGTTTGTCTGACAGGCTCAGCAGGGCTAATGTCTCTGGGCATCTAGGCTCAAATAGGATAGTGGAGTGTTGGATATTTCAGATGTGTGCATGGAACAATCCACCCTCTCTGAATGGTCCCAGGTCCTGTTAATCAGAGTGACATCAGCCACCCGGTCTACAAGCCCTGGCACTCTTGAGATAAGCCCAGCCCCTTCTACCACCCTGTTGTGTTCCATTTTCTGCTGAGGCTCTTGACCTCTCCAGGGGGTTTAATGTGAAACTTCTGGGTCTTTTGCATAAGCAAGCCATCTCTACCAGCATTTCCCAATGCTGTGTGACATGGGAATCACCTGGGGTATGTTCTAACCTCTCTCTCTTTTCCTAGGCCATACCCCAGACCAACTGACTCCAACTCTCCAGGATGGGGCCAAGGCATTAGGACACGTCTCAAGCCCCAAAGTGATTTACAATGTGCAGCCCTGGCTAAGAACCAACTCTCTTCCTAGAAAGTGTTCTGCTCTGGTGGTGGGAACAACATGGGAGTGTGGCTGGGATCCCTGCAGGCCTGCCAGTGAAGGAGGCTGAGGGATCCTGCAAACATCAGAATTTCTCCAGAAACTTCCAGCCCCTAAAGTGGGCTCACCTGGATACCAGGGCCTGATACTTGGCCCTGCATGTCCCATGCCCACCAGCGTAAGCCCCAACTCACTTGTGGTGGAGACTGACTTCCCAATGTCGACTAAGGAGCGGTGGATGGGTTTCTTGGTTTGGTGACGGTGCCTCCTCAGGAGGACGTAACTGACCCTCTCCCGGAGCTCTGGCCGCAGGAGACCATCCTCAATCTGCTTCTCAATGACATCATCTGCATGGAAAACAAATACACTTCGTCCCTGTGGACAGAACAGCCTCAGGGTGTTTCAGTTTCACCTGTTATGAGTGGGATTAAATGTGAGCTGGAGGTGTCAGCGGGTGTGTGGAAATACTTCTGGCTTTGCCACTAATTGTGGAAAACTGGGCACATCACCAACTCTTGGCCTCCTGTTCAAGGGCACGTGCATGTCTGTGTGTGTGTGTATGTATGTAAGACTCTGCTCTGTCAATGTTCTTATGAAAAGTGAAATAAACAGTCCATATGAAATTTTCCCAGGAAGCATAAAGGTATTGTGTTCAATGGGTTTAGTCCTAAAATGAATTCTTTTTAGAAAAGCATTTTGGGTAAAATACTTCTGGAAAAACCCAATGTGCTGGAACAAAACTGACAAAAATTTTTAGGGGTGTTAAGGCAAGCTACCTCCTCCCTTTGACACACCACTAAATGATAGCTAATTTCCTAAAGATGAATAATGACCCATTTTACCCTAAAAAGAAACAGGTTGTCATGGCAAAAGGTGTCTCTGACCATGCCCTCTCCCCTTTTGCTACATTTCTGGATAGCATTTTGGAGGATGGTCTTTGCCTCTCTGCTGGAGGTCTGTGTGGAACTGAAACTTGGGGCAGCTTTGATCCTGCCCTGGGAGCAACAGAGTCAAAGCTGTTCTCTGCAGAGTCAGGTGTCAGAGATGGGCCAGTCACACAGGCTCGAAGGCAGGCATGAGGTCAGGGGAGCTGCCCTGGTTTGCAAGGGACCACAGGAGAGATGCACACAGTGGCCCCTGCCTCACCTATGATCTGTGGTAAGGAGCCACTGTCCAAATCCAGCAGCACCGTCCCCGTCTGCAGGCAGGTACGGAGCTCGAAGAGGCTGTGCAGGGAGAGTGTGGACACGTGGGGCTTGCTCCAGCGTTCGCCGCCTTCCTCTACCTTTTCTTCAAACTTTATCCACCTGGAAGGGTAAGGATGGGACTCAGTGTGACCAGGGCCCTCAGGAGGAGGCCCCACCTGGGTCTCCCCAAGAGAGTGGTATCATGTGAGGTCGTGCTATGTATGTGGTTACGGTGTTGGTCCTAGACTCACAGGCAGAGGATCTCTTGGGAATGCCATCATTTGTCCCCCACTTCTGATGCTGTCATGTTAAGGACAAAGTGGCATCCAGAGAACAACTATACAAGGGCACAAGGGGTCTTCTGGGAGTGATGGAAATATTCTAAAATTGGATTATGGTGACGATTGCATAATTCCATACATTTACTAAAAATCATTTACCAGTACACTTACAATGAGAGAATTTTAAGTTATTCTAGAACAATAAAGCTGTTTTTTTAAAAAAGCCTCAGCTGGAACCTGATTACCCCAGGCTGTTCACACATGAGTGTTCAGTGTGGTTTGCCAGGAGCAGAAAAAACGTTCCCTGACAAAAAGTATTTCTCTCTGACTTTCCCTGCAACTCTGAGGTTTGCATGTTTTTCACTCTTTTCCCTCTGAAAGTTCATGTAAAAATCCACAGGCCACCCAGGGGAGGAAAGAAATTAAACCAACGATGTGTAGGAATCTGTCCTTTCTAGAAGCCTTGGAATCATAGGCTGGAGTGGAGGTGTGCAAGAAGAAGGGCCTCAGAAAGTGCCAGGGGAGCAAGGAGTCCTGGCTGGAGACCTTAGTTCCCCTTTGTAAGATGTCAACCAACCACAAATGCATGAGTAGCTCCAATCTATTACAACTGAAATCCCAAGGGAGGACTTTTGGACCATGACTATCTAATTCTAAAGATCCTCTTAATAAAGAAAATGTATCAGAATGGTTGAGGTAAGTTCAAAAACAAAGAGAAATGGGGATGGCTTAGCACGTATAAAAACTTATGGAGAAGCTTTAATAATTAAATTAAAGCAGTGTGATTACAGGCCAGATATAGTCAAGGGATCAATGGCACAACAGTCTAGAAACAGACCTGTATATCCATGGGAATTCAGGTTGTTTTTTTTTTTTTTTTTTTTTTGAGACAGAGTCTCACCCAAGTTGGAGTGCTGTGGCATGATTTCAGCTCACTGCAACCTAGACCACCTGGGCTCAGGCAATCTACCTACTCAGCCTTCCAAGTAGCTGGGACTACATGCACATGCCATCATGCCTGTCTAAGTTTTGTATTTTTTGTAGAGACAGGGTTTCTTCATGTTGCCCAGGCTGGTCTTGAACTCTTGGGCTTAAGCAATCAGCCCACCTCGGCCTCCCAAAGTGCTAGGATTACAGGCATGAATCACCACGCCCAGTCACGAAATTTGGGTTTTGATGAAGGAGTTGTTTAAAGACAACCAACCTAAAAATATAAAGTTAAATCTCTACTTTTCACCAAACACAATACTAAATTCTTCATGGATTAAAGTCTAAACATAAAAATAAATCTATAAGCAAAAATGCAAATGTACTAGAAGAGACTATAGGAGAGTATTCTTATATTCTTGGAGAATATTGTAGAGAAAGACTTTCTAAACAAGGTATAAAACCATAAAGAAAAAAAAAATGGACAGATTTGATTACCCAAAACTAAAATAAATGAAAACTTATGTATAGTAAAATAACATATAAATCAAGTTCAAAGAAAAGTAATGTACTGAGAAAAATATCTGCAACACAAGAAAGCATCAAAAGACTACTATTTATAATACAACAATACTCCTTTGAATTCATAAGATTATCCAATTAACTCAAATTATCCAATAGAAAGAAAACAATTCTGAGAAGAAATGAAGATGGCCAATACACATGTGAAAATATGCTCAACTTTACCAGTAATCACGAACTTTTAAATTACTACAAATGAAATAACATTCTTCATTTCTTATACTGGCATCAGTTAAAAAGATCAACAACTTCCTGTGTCAGTGAAAACGTGGGATGTGGCCTCTCATCTCATGTAATGACACAGACTTCCTGGTGTGGGCAGCCTCTTTCAACATTCAGTGTGCATGCCTTTTGACCCGTGGTTCCGTTTCTAGGGAACGATCACAGGAATATAATCACACTGCCACACCCTGTAATATGTATATGAGAATGCTTGATGAAGCTTTGTCTGTTAGGCTGAAGAACTGGAAATGACCAGGTTTTCAGTAGAAGTATGATTACATCAATTCTGTATGTTCATGCTGTGGAATATTCACCAGAGATAAATAAAAAATATGACAGTGATCTTACATACTGACAGGGCGGACACTACCATCCCATTTTATAAAAAAGAAAAACACACGTGTGTGCGTGCACACGTGTCTAGAGAAAAGTTTTGGAGGGATCCATGTCAAATGGTAAACAATGATTACTTTGAGTAGAGGAGTAGGATTGTTGTTGGGGTGGGATTTAAGACTTTCACTCTATTGAACCTAATTAATGTAGCAAGAGTGCAGTCTGTTAGGCTGGGTGAGGTGGCCCATGACTGGGATTCCAGCACTTTGGGAGGCCCAGGTGGGTGGATTGCCTGAGTTCAGCAGTTCGAGACCAGCCTGGGCAACATGTTGAAACCCTGACCCTACCAAAAAACACAAAAAAATTAGCTGGGCATGGTGGCATACAGCTGTGGTCCCAGTTTCTTGGGAGGCTGAGGTGGGAGGATCACTTGAGCCTGGAAGGCAGAGGTTGTAGCAAGCTGAGATTGCACCACTGCACTCCAGCCTGGGTGACAGAGTAAGACTCTGACTAAATTTTTTTTTTTTTTTTTTAAGAGTGCACTCTATGAAGCAACACTATCAGGTTTTGAATACCAGCTCTATCATTTACTAGCTGAGAATCTCAGGTAAGTTACTTAATCTCTCATCACCTTTGATTTCTTCAGTAATAATAATAGTGTACAGGAATTAAAGCAGTGACTAGCACATAAGATATACTCTGCTAATGTTAGCTATTAAGTTAAAAATAAAGTTTGAAATTTTAGGAACACTATAAAAGAAGAAAGTAAAGTCGTTCAAAGCTCCTCCAAGCAGGAAGGGTTGATGTTTTGATAACTGCCATTCTAGATCTCCCTGTGCGTACGTGCACACATGCCCGTGCTTGCATTAACTTTACATTAATGGCACCACAAGGACCTTAAGGGCATAATATCCAACGGACATCTTTTCATGTCTATTAGTACTAACATCATTCTGAAGTCTTTCTAGTATTCCACTGTCTGAACATACCATAACTGATAGAAACAGTTCTCAATTGGTGGACATTTATTTATTTTATTTTATTTTATTTTTTTTGAGACGGAGTTTCACTCATGTTACCCAGGCTGGAGTGCAATGGCGCGATCTCGGCTCACCGCAACCTCCGCCTCCTGGGTTCAGGCAATTCTCCTGCCTCAGCCTCCTGAGTCGCTGGGATTACAGGCACGCACCACCATGCCCAGCTAATTTTTTGTATTTTTAGTAGAGACGGGGTTTCACCATGTTGACCAGGATGGTCTCGATATCTTGACCTCGTGATCCACCCGCCTCGGCCTCCCAAAGTGCTGGGATTACAGGCTTGAGCCACCGTGCCCGGCCAACATTTAGATTATTTCTAATTATTCTTTATTATCAATTAAGGCTGGTCTGAACATCCTTGGTCCCTGGTCAACAATTTTTTTAGGATAAACTCTCAGAAGTGGAATTGCTATGTCTGCACATTTTTACATTTATAACAAACATTACCAAACTGTTTTCCAGAAAGCTTGTGTCACTGACCACTGCTACCAATGAGATGTTCCATTTCCCTAAAGTCTCCCAGACTCTGGTATTTTCATTCTTTTTCACCTTTGTCCATTTGGTGATTGAAAAATTGTCTCACATTTGCATTTTTCTGATTGCTAGTGAGATGGAACATCTTTTCCTTTGTCAGATTTCCTCTTCATGTAACTGTATATTTTGCATTATCGATGTTTAACATCTTCATTCCATACATTTATTTGAGACAAGTTAACCAGGCACCTGGTGGGACCCTGGGGGATCAGACAGACACAGGATGGAGAGGTTTAATTAGAGAAGGACTGGGAGGTAAAGAACTAAAACATGGGGGCTGGAGCCAGAGACCAGGAAGACAAGTCGTAGCTGACCTTTCCGTGGGGAAATATGTTTGGGAAACATCATTTAAATTATGGCAGATCCAAGACTATGTGATGTCGAGAGTAAGATGTTTCTAAAAGGGATATTAACATAAGAGTTTACAAGGAATAGACCAAAGGATAAGTCCAAATTTTTTGTTTGTTTGTTTGTTTTTGAGACAGAGTTTCACTCTCGTCCCCCAGGCTGTAGCACAATGGTGCGATTTTCGCTCACTGCAACCTCAGCATCCTGGGTTCAAGTGATTCTCCTGTCTCAGCCTCCTGAGTAGCTGGGATTACAGGCAGGAACCTGCCCCCAGACCCAGTTAATTTTGTGTGTGTGTGTGTGTGTGTGTGTGTGTGTGTATTTTTAGTAGAGACGGGGTTTTACCGTGTTGGTCAGGCAGGTCTCGAACTCCTGATCTCAGGTGATCTGCCCACCTCGGCCTCTCAAAGTGCTGGGATTACAGACATGAGCCACTGTGCCAGCCAGTCCAAATGTTTTAGTTGAGAGGATGCTCAACCTTTCTCCGTGAGGACTGACTTCCTATTCAGATTGCCTTTTTTTTTTTTTTTTTTTTTTGCTCAAATATAATACACAAGATAAACTGAATTGTCACCCTGCTCCCAAAGACTCTTTTGCTACTCCATGGCCTTACCCCATCCACCTAAAGGTGTGATGTGGCCCATGCACAGGGCCACTTGGGTGAGTTCCTCTCTTCACTGTCTCACAAACATCCTAGGCCAGACATTCTCAGGCAGCTCTCTCCCCTGACATCCCATTCTTCAGTCTTCTGCCCATACAAATATAACTCCACCTGAAGGAGTGATAAGAGCATGCTTCCTCTTTGAAACATCCTCTACTAACTCCAGAGAGCAGGTAGCAAAGACAAGCAGTCCTC